AAAGGTTGCTTTTGATTTTGTCCAGTAAGATTTAATTTTTTTGAGAGATCGTCACCAAGAAGAAATTTCATTGATCGTTTTATAAAATCGGAAAGATCAACTCCACCTATATCAGCTATCACTTTAATCTACACCAAAAAGTCTAAAACTAGTTAATAAATAATTAAAAAAATAGTAATATGTTTAATGAAAAAATTCTAATAACAAAAAAAACTTTAATGTTATATAACAGTAACATACTTAATGAAAAAAAGTATATTTTTTGTAAACAAATTTTACTAACCATACATTTCTTCACTAGAGGATCTACCAACTTCTGATCCATTACTAGTAGATCCTCATATGTAAAATAGGTAATTTAATGTCCTCTGGAATCTGACATAAACTTCCATTTATACCTCTGTCTCGTTGCACTAGACATTGCAAAATAGCAGAATAAACTTTCAAAGTTTGTTTTATGTCTTCAATTTGTGTCAAAACTGCTGTTAATATTGTGTTAGTCTGACTAGTACTTGCAGCTATAAATTATCAAATAAACATTATTTTTGAAAACCAAAATTTAGATAACTTTGATACTTGAGTTATAAGTGTCACAAGAATACAGAAAAAAAGTGTTAATAAAAGTTAATGAACTTGTTTATAATAGTTATTAAAAACAAGTTTATTTAGTTATTCCCTTTTTTTTAAGTGCTAAAATAAAAAGATAAATTGTCCTGGTAAAATTTTTTCATTATCAATACATTTTAGTTACATAAAAATCATTACCAATTTTTTTTAGTTACATAAAAAATTGGCTTTACAATAAATGAGGGAAAAAATATATAAACTTACTGTTAGCAGAAGAATTGACTATTATTAACAATAACATTACTTATACAAAAGATTACTTTTCAATAAACTCTTCGCTGCTATCAAATTCAACTTCACTTTTGTCACTTTTATCAGCTTGTATAATATTTTTTCTAGATAAATTATTTAAACTAATTAATAAACAATTTGAGTAGGCAAGTATACACAGCAGCATGTATACACACATTGGTATAAAGATATGGCAAATGTTAATACAAATTGATAAGTTGTCTCAAAGGACATAAATTACTGAAAAAAAGCAGTCTGTTAGCTCGCAGGGTGAACAGACAATTATGAGTTACAAAAAAACTAACTTCAGCGCTCAATCAGCTATTTTAAGGAAAATTTCAAAAAAATCAAGGTAAAATATTCTGTTTTTGTGAAAAAATTACATTAGATCGGCAAGCTTTTAAAAATTATTTCAACCGCTGAACTTAGACTATAAACATGTTCACCATTTGTAGGATAATCGGGAAGCTCATTTCCTTATTTACTAATTTATAGCTCTTTGCGCTTCAAAAACATTTAATACACTTTCTGTAAACTACACTAAAATTTGTTTATGGAACTCACCTTCTTCGCTTTGTACTATTTTCAACTTCGAGATTTGAAGTGTCTTCAGCCAATATTGCTTTCTGACGAGCTTCATAAAGTGAATCTAAAATAACTTTTTTTTTTAGTAATAACATTTGTTTATGACTTGGATTGACTTTGATAGACTTGGTTCGTCAGTTTAAATGAGAAATGACACAATTCGAATTTAAATACTGATAACTTGAAAAATAATCTACTTTACAAAACAACTATTTATTATACTATGTATAAGAGCGTCTAAACACTGACTTTTAGCCTTAGAAATACTTTCTGGATTTTTTAGAGGAGGCCAGTAAAACTCGACTATATGATGCTTCTTAATTTGCATAGGAATATCACTCAGTAAGGTACCATCAGCAATCCAGTTTAATGGAAGAAAATCTGTTTCATTACTCTCATCAAATGAAACAATTGCATAAGACATTTTAATCTAATAAAATAGGAATCACAATCAACAATACCATAGCATAATTCTTATAAAACGGTAAAGTGTAAAGAGTAGTACAGTATGTAATAAACAGAAATGTAATAAACAAGTATTTATTCATTATGAGGATAAATACTGCAGTATTTACCCAAAGTTATTTGAGTAGCTACCACTCTTATAACTTTTGATGCAGTATACTGGAGCAAAAGTTTTAAAAGTAGTACATGCAAATGCATATATCCATTTATACTATAGTATGTAATACAAAGGATGCAACAATTTAAAAATATGTAATAAAAAAAGTAGAACACAATAAATAAAAAAAGCAAGTAAATAAAGTTCATATAATTTTATTAAAGTCAGTAAAGATGCATTGTAAAAAATTTCTTATAATACTAACTTTCCCGTTTACTTTAAAACAATCATTAATTGAAGCAAAAAACTTAGCACTATTATATTTCTTAAATTCCAAACAGTGACGATATGATATGGGAACTGGACCGTCAGTGCGAAGCTTTTTAAAAACACTTTTATTTTCATTTCAAATTTGATTAGTTGGATTCAAATATCCTTGAAAAATACTTCTCACAATTTGAAAGCACAAGAACTGAGGTCGCCGCACAAGTTTTTTCAATCTTCCAAGATAACTTTCATATGGAAAATAAGAGACTTTATCCAGAGCACCGTAATGATTAGCATCATCTGGCAACTGAATTAAGGAGTGAATATTATAAACGCACTGATCTTTCCCATATAATTTACAAAATGTAGCAACAAAATATGTTAGCAACTTTTTAACATAATCAAGATGATTTGCACAAAGCAATGGACTTAAAAGAATACGTAACAGATAAATCCAAAAAGCAACAGATAAATCCAAAAAGTTTATATAAACATCATTTGGCAATATACCTTTCAAAACTACCAGGCCAGTATATAATAAAAACTGGAGTAATTCAGTAGCTTTCCAGCGTTTAAATTCCCATATTGAGCGAGGTTTGCGTGAAAATTCTTTTGGTATATACTGTTTAAATAAAACAAGTTTTTCAGATAGTGTAGTTAACGATGTTTAGGATAAACATTGTTTCTTTTTACTCCCATGCACCCATTGGTTAATCATTCTTCTAACTACTCCTAAGCATACCAAATGCATATAATCGAGTGGAAAAGATGAAACCATTCCAAATGATAATTCTAAAAATGGAGAGATCATGTTTTCAATGTGATGCTTCTTATTTTTTAAATGTTACAAATTCATGCATAAAATTACTTTGATGACTTGTAAAATTGCACTTGTAATAGTTGCATGTGTGTTACCAATACTATCTGATAAAGTGCAGCTATATTGGTGATCATTTGAGCTTGAGTCATTTTGATTTTCAAACTCATGTTGAACTTGTGATAGCAGTGTTTATTTTTCTACGCTACGATACGGCAGTGTTTATTTTTCTACGCTTAGTGTGATAATTATACGAATAAGGAATCAAACTATCCATTATATGATTATATATTCTATATTTATTTACCACGATTTACAACAACAACAAGAACAAAAAAATGTATACTTTATTTTGAAGAATTTAAAAAATGTATTTAATAAATAAATATATTCAAACAGACTGAGATAATTTTATTAAAACACCAATAATTTTGATTATTACTTGCTATTATTTACAAATAATTCACAATATAAACAGTTTAAATAATTTTTCATATAAACCTTTTTTTTTAATTTAATGAGACTTATAATAGTTATAATAAAGTTATAATAGTATATTATATGATATACAATATTTCAGTCAGGTCAGGTTATCCTTACGTCAAGTCAGGTTATCCTGCTACTGATAACTTTTTTTTTTTTTATTTGCATTCACTCCCAACAAGGCTGCAAGCAACCACTATTAAGTTGAGAGTTACTTGGAAAAAAAAAGAACAGAGTTAAAGAGCGAGGAAACGGTTGACAGAAGACTTGAAAAGTTGAAGGTTGTATGAGTCAGGAAAACAAGAAGATGGGAGAGAGTTCCAAAGGATTAAAGTGCGGGGAAAAAAACTAGATGAATAAAAGTTTTTAGAGCATGCAGGGACAGATACAGTAAACGAATAAGACTTAGCTGAATGACGAGTAAAACGAGAATGAAATTTAGTTGATGGAACTAGAGATGATAACTCCTTTAAGCAGTGACCATGATAGTATTTGTAGAAAAGAGAAAGAGATGCAACTTTATGACGACGAGAAAGAGGCTCAAGCTTAGCAGATAGTCCAGGTCCAACAACATTTACAATGCGTTTTTGGACCTTTCAAGAAGAGAAAGTGAATCTTTAGAAGAACCAGCCCAAATATGACAACAGTATTCCATACAGGGACGAATAAGAGATTTGTAGAGGTAGAGAATGGAATCAGAAGTAAGGAAATGGCGAGCACAATAAAGAGAAGCAACCTTAGCAGAAGCTAATATAGCAATCAATTGTATATATGGTTTCCATGAAAGGTCAGTAGTAAGCGATAATCCAAGAAGACGTAAATTCATTAATATAGGAATGTTGACCATATTACGGTAGTTGTTTGCAGTAAACAACTGGGTTTTGTTAGAGTTTAAATTCACAAACCACTGTGAACCCCAATCTATTACTGAAGTGAGATCGGATTCAAGATCAGCTGCTTGTTCTAGGCGATCGAAAAGAAAAGACTTTTTGTCAAGACAGATATGTCTTTAGATATGTCGAGAGCAATAGCTTTAGCCTCACTACCTCCATCTAATGCACGATAAAATCTTTCAGTTACAGCAGTTAGCAAGTCGGCCGTAGAGCGAGAGGATCGAAAACCGTATTGATTGTCTGACAGTTGTTTATTTGACTCAAAATGAGATGTGAGGAATTTGTTGATCAAAGACTCAAAGATCTTGTTTATAACAGAAAGAAGACTGATCGGACGATAATTGGAGGGGTCAGAATTTTCTCCAGAGTTTTTGAATATTGGAACCACAGATGCCATTTTCCAACAAGCAGAAAAACAAGACTCAGTCAAATACTTGTTAAATAGTTTAGAGAGAATTGAAGAAAGTTCTGGAGAACCATTCTGCAAGACTGTGACAGGAATGTTGTCTGGACCACAAGCTGTAGACGAGTTTAATTGAGATATGACTTTAGCAACAGAAGCCAGAGTGATTTGAATGTCTAACAATGGGTCAACCTGTTTGACTGGAATGGAAGGAAGAGAATGTCCATAAGATTCAAGAGTGGAATTAGAAAAAAAGTTCTTTGCAAATAGTTCTGCCTTATCCTTAGGAGAGGTATTAAGATCAGTCCCATGAATGAGAGATGGAATGTTAGATCTATCCTTGTTAATAATGCTGTTGAAGATTTTCCAAAAGTCTTTAGAGCCTAACTTCTGTGATAAGATGCAAGGTTTAGTGAACTGAGAATAATGGAGTTTAGCATCAGAAAGCACCTTTTTACATTGATTTCTTGCAATAATAAATAGCTGTTTGTTTCATCTTTTTCAAAAGAACAACTCTCAAGAGAGTTGTTCTTTTGAAAAAGATGAAAAAAATGATTACGATTGGATATAGCAGCCGCACAAGAAGGAGAAAACCATGGAGTTGAATGAGGCTTGACTTGAAACCAACGAGAAGGAATAAAAGCTTCCATTCCAGCCTGAATCCAGGAGGTTACGTAGGAGGCGCATTTGTCAGCTGAGAGAGAAAAAACATCAGCCCAAGGACCATCACGAAGAAAATCACGAAATAAATCCAATTCAGCTTTAGGGTAGTAGTAGGTGGTGCGATGATAAGGTGAGCCCAAAAAAGAAGTACAAGAAGAAAGATTTATAGAGATCATTGCATGATCAGAACCACCTAAGGGAGAAAAGGGAGAAACTGAACATAAGCTAGGGTCAGAGATAAGACATAAGTCAAGGAGTGAAGGTAAATGATTAGGGTTGTCAGGAAAACGAGTCACAAAGTTAACTATCTGAGTAAGAGATTGAGAAACGCATAAGGCTTTAGTGCCAGGAGGATCAGTGGTGTTAAAGCCAAGCCATTCAGTGTGATGGGCATTAAAATCACCAACAACAGCAATATTGGCAGAGGGGTAAAGAGAGAGGGCATGGTCAATTTGATCAGAGATAACATCTAAAAGAGTGCAATCATGGGAAGAAGGAGAACGATAAAGAACAAAGAGAAAGGTGATAGAGTGAAGAGGTGCTAGGCGAAAGCACATAAAAGAATGGTCAAAGGATTCGAACCTGATTTCACGACAAATAGGGGAATTAATGCGTATGTATACCCCTAAACCTAGCATGTGACTATTTGAGTCTTTACGAATCAAAGGATAGTACCCATCAACACTGACATCTGAAGAAGGAATTGCAGAATTTAAATTTGTTTCACTGAGTGCAAGCAAGTCTGGTGAATTTTGCAAGAGGTAAGACTCAACTGGTGGAAAGTTGCTTCGTAGACCGCGAATATTTGTAAAAGATATATTAAAATATTTAGGTGGTGGGGATGGTTTTTTAGGTTTTAAATTTTTGGTTACTTTGGTCATGATTTGGGTTTAATGAGAACTTGACTCATTCATAGATAGAGCACAGCCTCCTAATCAATGAGCTATGCAGTTGTCTCAGTCCTGTTAATTAACCCTAAGCCGTGACATAGGGCTCCTTATGTGGCCTTGACAATCCACACCAAAAGCATTAACAGGTACACTATCCACGTGCAACATGGCACTGTTAATACTCTGATATTTTGCAGCTGTTGATGGAATCAGCCTCTCTGAGAGCTACCACAGTGTTCGGGAAACCTTACTACCAGCCGGCCTCAGAACCATTAAACTGAGTTTTAGAGCTGTACCCTCATATGGAGATAACAGGAAGAGTTGCATAGCCATTATCAAGGAGGTATAAGCAAAAATCTATGAGTAGAGTCAAGGAGATCCAGCATTCATCATCCTAGGCAGGAAACAATGTAACACAGGTTACATATACGCCAGCCTAATAGATGAAGAAGGGGTTCGAGGCTGGTTAGCAGAATTTTTCTGCTTACCCCTAAAGTCTTTGCCTAGGAGGCCTTCTACAAGACAGAAGCTGGATGCAGTTAACATCTGCCCAAGATGAGTATTTTTATCGAGACACCATCTCTAGCCTTTACTCAACCAAGAGCCCCAAGGCAGGGGATGTTTAGTTGGATGCAGTTAACATCTGCCCAAGATGAGTGTTTTTATCGTATAACATATAATCCAGTACATAACATATAATCCAGTACAACTTGCTTCATGTTAACGTCAAAAAGGGCATCATAACAATTTACAACATTACAATTTGTTTTACAAATCGCGTTTACAACATTACAATTTGTTTTACAAATCATGTTGCAACATTTTCTATAAATTATAACGTATATAAAAAAAGTAAAAGAAAAAAGTAATACTTTAAGTAATATTATTAGTTATATAATATAGGTAATAATATTATTTATATTATAAATACTATAACTGATATTATTAGTAACCTAACTCTTTTTTTTAAAAATTTAACTTATAATAAGTTGTTGTTGTTGTAAGTTTTACATCCATTTATCCAACTCTCTCATAATGGCATTTATGTCATTAAGAAAACCATTTAAACCACACAAGTGTGGAAAAATGGATGTAAAACTTACAACAACAACAACTTACTATAAGTTGAATTTAAAAAAAAAAATAATCATAAGTTACGCTTAAATTATTTCACTGCATATTCTAAAAAATAATATAACATCTTGTGATAAGAAATTGAAATGTTTCATACAGTTTGGTTACAATTTAGAACATCAGAAAACTTTTATAAACAATGAAAACATCAGAAACATCAGAAAACTATTGAAAACAATTTTTTTAAAACGATGCTTACTGCTCGTGGTCAGAAAAAAACGCTACCATTATAACATTCACGTTCTAAATGACCACTAAATCCCAGCCGTAAACCGTTCGCGGAAAGCCTACGACAATCCCAGCAAAATCCCATGCCAATCCCAGCAATCGCAGGTTTTATATTTATATATTAACGGCGATATTTTTACACCATATGGGACCCATCTGTTACCCAGACCAAATCTCAGCCGTAACCCAGTCCCAGTAACTCAGCTTTTTATCTCGACCCTCTCCCCCCCCCCCTAAATTTGGATGACGTCCTTTACGGATGGCCCTTAACGTCTTTTGCCAGTATACCCACGATATACACTTTAATGAACTGGAAACCTCAAAATAGGAAAGTATCACCGACTATTCGGTATTCGGCAAAACCACTATCCGTGATATCTCTAATTATAATAGTACATACTTTTGTTTCTAAAAGAACAAACAAAAATAAAAGATTGAAAAATTAAATCGAAATAAAAGATAAAAGGATATTCAGATTTTCAAACAACTAAATCGACTTTAAATAATTTAAACGTTATGAACGCAAGCATTTAACAAGAGCGGACGCGATTTTACCACGAGGAGGATAAAAAAAAAAAAAAAAAAACATTTTGATTACTTTACATTTGAAAAAATATTCAAGCATAATCTAAAAAAACTATATTTTATAACGTATATTATACTATGGCAGAAACACTTTCTGAAATAAAAAAAATGTTAAAAAAAAATGTTTAAAGAATTCAAAAAAGAAACTGAAGAAATGTTTCGTAAACAAGAGAAAACTGTTATTGATATTATTGGCGCTAATATAAAAATAATTAATGACAGAATGGGCAAAGCAGAGTTAAACGTCAACGCGAATGTAAACAAAATTAAAGAACTTACAAAGGAATTGGAAAATATTAAGCATAGTCTAAACTACAACGAAGAACTAGTTGACAAAAAAATTAATGACAACAATAAACAACTAGATAAAAAATTCGAACATACTAATATAGAAAAATTTATAAAGGAAAAGCAACGAAACCTGGAAGATAGATCAAGAAGAAATAACCTACGAATCGATGAAATTGATGAAAATGGGCATGAATCATGGGGGGACTCTGAAGAAAAAATTCACACATTCTTTTGGCAAAAACTTGGACTGAAAAATATCGACATTGAACGTGCCCACCGCACTGGATTAAAGAAAGATGGACGACCGAGGACAATAGTACTTAACCTGCAGAAATACAAAGACAAAAAAAAAATCTTGAAAGAATCTTATCGACTAAAAGGCACAAGGTTTTTTATTAACGAAGACTTTTCTCGTGAGACCATTGCTATTCGGAAAAGATGATGCGGAAAAGATTTGCGGAAGTAAAACAAAGGCGTTCAAATGGTGAAAATGTAACGGTAAGATATGACAAAATTATTTATCTTTATAATAAAATAATAAAAAATGCTCAAAAAACTCCATGTTGGGGCAGATTTGAACACGTTGTGCATATAGCTGAAATGAGAACTTCGACTTTATTTTTCACTTGCAGTTTATATAAATAAAGCAATTTTTTTCCTTGATGATAATTTTAACTGTTCAAATAAAAAAAAACTTGTTAAAATAAATGAAAAAATGTTTTATAATAAAAAGTTTAAAAAATTTTCAAAGTGCCCCCTTCTTCCTTAACAACTTTTTCAAAAAATATGTGTATGAAAAAAAAAAGGCTTTACGACAAAAGGCAATAATTTATCGAAATTCATAAACTTATTGTTAATATTTCTCGAATTGAACGTAGTAAACCGAAAAATTCTAGAAATTTCCGAAAGTGTTGGAATTAATTTTTTTTTTTCTAGAATATGTCTTTCCCGAAAATCGGAATAAAAAAATTTTTTCGCGTTGTTCCGCACAACTTTTACTCTTATCCAAACGTCGATCCCTACCAATTAAGTTTCTGAAACAAATTGTGTTCTGTTGATGTTCTAAATAAGGAACTTTTTCAGTTTAGGCAGCCCAATTTAAACATAAATCAAAGTGAAACAAAATTAATTATAGTTTATATCATTTTTAAAGGCGTAAATTATTATAATAAATTTATCATACACAGGTTAGGGAACATAGATCAGAACTTTCTCAGAGCTTTTTTTCTTTTTTCTTTTTTTGCTTTTCTGCAAAATCAATTTGTCGTTCAATGAGACTTAACCTTCTTGTTAAATTTTCATTTGACTTCGATATTTTTTTATTGATGCTTTGTTTACGAAGAGGAACGGTTAAGGAAGTACTAATAAATGATTTTGGACGAGGTTTTGGAGTTGAAAAATTATTGTTATTTGGAAAAGATAACGAATCATTAGATTCATCACAACCGTTATCACTAGAGTTCGCACTATCTAAACTTCCATTTATTACAGGTCGGGTGTGCAGACGATGTTGAGGAGAATAATTACTAAGTGAAAAACGTCGAACAGTGAAGGTGAACTCAGAGTTAGTTTTATTATCAATTGGATTTAAGTCAAGTCCGGAGAGATCGAGTGTACTTAGATTACTATTTTCCGCTAACTGTTGCGCTAAAAAATAAAAAAAGATTTATAAAAATTAAAGTTTTTAATAAGTTTTTTATTTAGAAGTTTTTTTTAAACTTACCTCTACATGGATCAGCTTTTAATAGAAATTCATATAAAAATTCCCATCCACCACCAACTCGCACAACAATACTACTTCCATGAATACGAACAAGTCGTATTATTTTAGAATTTCCAAATTTATACTTTCCTTCACCAAATCTTTTAATTTGAAAGGGAGTATGACAAGTACATCTACGTTCTTCACATCTAATCTTAAAATTTGATGCAAAAATTATTTTAAAAAATGCATTCAACTAAAAAACTAGAGTATATATATATATATATATATATATATATATATATATATATATATATATATATATATATATATATATATATATATATATATATATATATATATATTATTTTGTGATCGTCGTAATTTTTTGACAGTAAGTTATTTCAATTGGTTATTTACCGAATTATTTTCTAATAATTATATTGGTTCATTAAGTAAACTTTTGTCCGTTATTAGAGAGAGAGAGAGAGAGAGAGAGAGAGAGAGAGAGAAAGAGAGAGAGAGAGAATTCCCGGTAAGTTGAACACCGGTAAATCAAACTTTTGTTATCTCAAACTGTTTTCTATAGTCCCTTGAAGCAATAATTGATATAAGTCAAACATTCGTTTTGTCGAACCTTTATATATATATATATATATATATATATATATATATATATATATATATATATATATATATATATATATATATATATATATATATATATATATATATATATATATATATATATATATATATATATATATATATATATATATATATATATATATATATATATATATATATATATATATATATATATATATATATATATATATATATAAACTTTTAAATAAAACGATTAATGTAAATACTTTAATAAAAATAGATAATAATGTTAAAGTTCATAATGGTTCTTATTTTATACCTGGTTTTCAATTTTTTCTATATCACCTTTCTTGCTTTTTAGAGCTAACTCCTTAAAAAATAAGTTAAAAAAATTAGGATCTTTAAATATTAATTAGAATAGAATCTAAAATTTGTATATACATATGAACCTCAATAGTATTTCATGCATAAATTAATAGTTCGTTGTAAACGAACTTTGTAAATTTTATATTTTATAAACTTTGTGGATAATATCAAAACATATTCATAAACTTATATACAAATAATTTATAATAAAGTATTGACATAGAACATGCAACATTATGAATATAAATTCTTTGTAATCTATTACCTTAGCGATTTCAAGTCGATTTAAACATTTCTCTAGATTACTGCATAAAAGGTCCCACCTATTTGTAATAGAGCTGAGTGTTTCTTTTATATCAGTCATTGGTTGATCAAAAATTAAGTCGCACAAACTTTCACCTGCTTCCAAAAAGTTTTCATATGTATCTTTTTGTGAGCTTAGTTCGGCATAAGTATTCTTAAAAATAAAACCAAGTTATATTAAATTTCCAAACAGTACTGGTAAAAAGGTAGGTAAAAAAGGGGAGTAGTTAGGCTTTTTTGAAAATAAAATTAATTTTTGTTTACTCTAAGCGTAGTTAAGGAGAGATCCAAACAATTTACGTTTCTTAAAAACAAAAGTTTACATTTTTATACTTCAATTTTTTGTGTTTACCGCTTATTTTCGACTATTGTTATATATTTTAAAAAAGTAGAAATTAAGCTTTTTTCATATAGTTTATTATTTTTTTTAAATCTTTTGTTAACCAAAGCATCAAGCAAATTAAAACTACAACTAAAATACATAAAAAGCGACGGGGCAGCGTCATAAAAACAGCTGAAACAAACGTGTTAAGTATTTACATTCCAAAAATGTCTCTTTTATTCGCAAGTAAAAAGTCTCTTTGTTTGCAGCATTAAAATATACAATAAATGGCTAAAAAGCTCATATTTTATCTTTCCGTAAAAAGTAACAACGTTAAAATCAAAGTTTTCACATTAGTTTTCACTCATAGCAATTTACTTTCATAATCTCTTTACAGTCATTTAAATAAACTACTAAACAGAAACGTTTCAGCTCTTATATAACTTCTGCCCCATAGTATTAAACTAAAACCTGAAATTTTGTAGATAATAAAATCACCGATTATTTGTAAACAAAATAAAACAACAAGCTTTGTGATTTAAAAAAAAAAATAAACCAATCAAAACGCACATAAAACGGCATTTTTAGGGCCTAAACGCTATATTTTTTCGGATCTCTTTTTAACTACGCTGAGCTTATAACAAATAATATATTTTGAAAGATAAATTTATCAGCCCTCTATCCCGTTCTAAACTTATTATTCTCTATCCTAATAATGATTTATAATAAATTGACGCATTATCTTAAAACAAATATGCGTGCATCACCATTCTTGGGTAGCAATCAGTTAAAATAATTTCTCACAATGCTCGGACTTTTCTCCACTCCATATTTGGCTTAGCCCCGTTTTTTAAATTTCCTATTTTTTTATAAACGAATTGCACAAAAACAAATTAATTTTAAAAAAGATGCGCAATTAAATGCCTAATTGTTATACACAAATCTTAATTATTAAATACACCTTAACCTTTACCTTAAATGTTATACACAAATCTTAATTATTAAATACACTTTAACTACCAGATCTTTGAAAATGTTAAAGCATGCAGTTGGTTGCTGCAATTAAGTTACAGTAAAAATTATAATTAATAGTACTAACTAACCTCAATAGTTTCTTCATTCTCCATTATGAGATCATGATTGTTGTAATCTCCAATAAAAAACTGACAACGTTTCTCAGCATCATCAAGCCAACAAATAATTAATAAATGAAGTTCTTTATATTGACGTAACAAAGGATCTAACGAACGAAAAATTTCTTTTTTGTGTGATAAATTATTCAATAAACGAAAATATCTAAGACGCGACTCCTTCATTGTTTCTTTAATAGTTTCTCTAGTAGCGCACGGCGGTAAGCACTGTGCAACGGTTTGAAATGCTTTAGAGACCTGCTTCATTTCTATATCCAAATCTTCAAGCTCAAAAAGAGCTGCCTTCATTTAAAAAAAAAATACATATGTCATTATTCTTCTAAACTAGGTTAACTTATTAAAGGCGTGGATTTCTAGATTTTTGCGGGAAAATAAAGATTTACTTTAAAGCAATAAAAACCTTACGTCAAGTTCATTTTTTTTTTCTAAAACGCTATCAAGTTCTAATATTTTAAAATTAGAGACATCTCCTTTCAAAATGTTCTCTAATCCTTCTATCCGTTGTGTAAATAAATCTAAAGCATCGTAAGCTAGTCTTCTGCAACGATTCCACGCAATATCGGATGACATCTATAAACATTAAATGTAAACAAAACTAAGTAATTACTAAAAAAAAAGTAAGAACAAAATCTATTAGTTAAAAGTTTCAATAAAACTAACTGTATGTACTTAAAAAATGTTACGATTTTATTACATACTTTAAAAGTTTTACATTTTTGAAAATCATTAATTTTGTGTCAATAAAAAAAAGCGGGCGGTAAAGTGAAGTTGATCCCATAAATAGGTTAAAATATAAAGAAAAATCAACTATTAGTACTTGAAATTAATTAAAATAAAATTTCTTACTATGATAAGAATTTTTAAGTACAAAGATATATTTTAGTTAATTATTTTTCATACTAATTTATTTGTTACATGAAAAGTTTCTAAAAGTTATAGTTAAAAGTATGAAGCTGTTAGCATCGGCCTTTTAGTTAGTACAAGTTGATCACGGTAAGATGAGAAGTTTGTCATATTGACACAGATGTATGGTCTCCGTGAACAGGTTTACAGTGTATATCTCCCCCCCCCCCTCTCAAAAAAAAAGAAAAAAAGAAGAAAGAAGTTGTTATGTTATAAGTGCATTTTAATTGGCACATTGGTACATTTAGCATTTGAGTTAGGAAGATTTAAACTTGAATTGGCAAATCGTGACGTTAGAATAATAGAGATTTATCTCCATTTTTTAACGTTGTGAGAATTTAACTTTCGATTTTTAATTTAACTTTCGATTTTTTAAAATGGTGTTTTTTATTTTATATATGTTTTATAATTGAATCAGTGAATGTTAAAAGAGTGGAAGTTTAACTATGAAAACTTTAAGGAAACTACAAAAAACTGTATTTTCCCCCGTTGTAAATTTTTGTTAATGGTTTAATAATTTTTTTTTTTGGAAGAGGATGTTTTTCACCTTCAAAAAAAAATTTAACCATTAACAAAAACTGACTACGGGGAAAATGCATTTTTTTTTAGTTTCCTGAAAGTTTACATTATTGTACTTCCTCCCTTTTAACATTCACCGATTCAATTAATCTTAAATTATTAATTTTTTAATTTTTAAAATCGTTTGTTTACAAATTAATTGTTAATTCCAACTTTATTAAATAAGGTTGCAGTTAACAATGAAAAAACAAAAACATATCTTTTTAAATATTATATAAATAATAATAATAAGATTATTGTACTAAAATTATATAATTTTGAACACAAAAATAGTATTATAAAAAAAAACAGAAAATTAAATTTTTTACCATGAAAATTGGGTTATAGAACCTTATAATTCTCATCTATCGATATGCTTTTTTGTTTTATACCAATTTATATTACTTAAAAAATGATAAATAATGTGTATTCTAAGCAATCAATTTAACAAATTTGATATTTTAACCTTGTACGTTAAATTTTTTTTTTTTTTTGAATTTAATATCAATATTTTTATTTTATTTCAAGAAAATACACATTTTTTTGTGAGAAAAAAATTCGCCAAAACCCGTATTAAAAGCAGCTTAACTGAAAGATTTTGTTAAAAGTTAATTGCAGAAAAGTTTCTATAAGAAATGCCAAACAGATAGATTAAACATTAACTTATTTGACATAACTAGGTCCCCGTTACCCGTTTTCTGTGTCCTCTGTTATTTTTTGGATGAGTATAATCGTAATGATAATAGGTAATAGGTTAAAACGTTATTATAGCTTTCCCGAACCCCCCCCCTCCTCCTCCCTACAAAATATTTGTTGATAAACTTTTATCTTTAGATTTTAACTTTTATCTTTTAAATTTGTTTTAACTTTTATCTTTTAAATTTCAAACTTCATTTTCATCTTCCGTATATTCCTTAATTGTTTTTATGAATTTTGACTCTTTTATAATGTATGAATTGCGGAAGTTTTAAAAAACAATGTTGGATGTAGATTAAATGTCGTTCGTCTTACAGTACCATTAAAAGGGTTATGAGTTTTATGCTGTAATAGTAAATTTTTTTTACAAAATAGTATGGTAGGGCGAGTTTTCCGTTTCGCGTTGCCATTTACTAAATCGTTTCTAAAAACTCATGCATTATACACAACGTCAAAATGCTTAAAAGGTTATGCAATATACAGAAGAACAATAAATCGATCAGTTATAGCAAAATTGTTTTGTATATTTAATTGCATGATTGTCTCCGATCAATTTCACGTCAGAGAGTGATAGGTGATTTCGATCAAATCACGATAGCAGACAACACTAGGGGAGTCCGGGACACGTCCTCCCCATCCTTAAACAATTTTTTTCCATAAAATATCGCATATCTTTTTTAAATAATTTGTATTATTTTTTTAAAGGTTTTAATTGTTATAATAAATAGTTTTATAAACAAGTATTTTGAAACAATTTGGAATTTTTCATATTTGTAATATTTCATAATTTGTGATATTTCAAAACAATTTGGAAATATCACATTAGTAAATATTGAAATTACTTGTGGGAAAAGAACTCCTAATTCATTAAGTCAATCTCCATCAATTGATTTAGAGCACTGTTAAAATGCTTTTCCAGCGCGATTTTATTTATATGGAGACAAACTTTTATAAATATACAGTTTTATAACACAGAAGGTAGTTTTTAGAAAAGTTTCGATTATTTTTTTATTTATTTGTTTGAAACTTAAAGATTTATTGATTTTTTCATTAAAAAACATTGCAGAAATAGCATTTAATGAGACGGTTTCTATTTATAAAAATTACAATTAATTAATAATGCAAAATTTAAACTCAAGGTACTTAGATATTAAAGGCTGAATTCTTACTACTTTTTCACAATGATGAAATTATATAAAATATATATTATATAATTAATTGTATGGCAAAATAATATTATAATAGCAAAATCGCTAACATTGGAAACACATTTTTCATGGATGGTCCCTCAGTTACTTTATATTATACAGAATTTAATTTTTTTGCTTGAATTTTTATTTCTTAAAAATAAAAACAAAATCTAACCTTATCTTTTGATAATACTTCTCTCCATAAATTATAAATTTGAATCCCAGGTATATCGTCGTTTTCATCTATTTGATTTGAACCTGACTTAAGAGTAGAGTTTAGAATTGAAGCAGATATATTAAGATCAATTGAATTTTGACTGCTACTCATTTTTCCAAATTTTGTGCTGGAATTCCAAACAGGACGTTTTATAATGCGAGATTTAGATGAACTTTTGAACAGCGAACTTTGTAAAGGCGTAACCTAAAATTAATATAAATAATATAAATTACATATATATATATATATATATATATATATATATATATATATATATATATATATATATATATATATATATATATATAATATATATACATGCATATATGCATTATATATATATATATATATATAATATATATATATATATATATACATGCATATATGCATTATATATATATATATATATATATATATATATATATATATATATATATATATATATATATATATATATATATATATATATATATATATATATATATATATATATATATATATATATATATATATATATATATATATATATATATATATATATATATAAATTAGTTATACGATGATATCGATGTGAAAAAGAATTTTTTCACAAATTGATCTGTTTAAAATAATAAGAAATCAAACTTTTATGATTAAGTTTCATGGTTATTTTAAAAAAATGTTATGACAGATATTAATTATTTTATGAACTTTAATTCTTTTGTTGCTTCAAGCTTAACCAAAGAACTCAAAATAAAAACAGTGTATATTTCATTTCGAGAACCACTAATTGGTTCGTCTAAACGGTTTAAACGTCATACTAAGATGTCGTTCAAAATACGTCACTATATAATAGTTTGAAAAAACAGCTGATTAAAAATACAACAATTCTTACACAACAATATAAAATTACTTTTTTCACTTTATGTTTGTTACTTCACGTGGCTCTATTTTTATAAAATCTTTTAGTAAATTAACTTTAAAAAAAATATTTATGTCTACTTTCTTTGTATCAACAATGAGTTTTTTTATTCATAAACAAAACTTAAACATTTATGAAAAAGTTACCGCAAATATTTAATTAACAGAAAGTGTTGAATGTTTTATTCTATACAACAATTTGACGAACATTTTTAACGATCTCGATCGTTAATAAGTAATTCTATATTTTATTAATAATTCTGTTTCATTTTTTTATTTACCTAGCAACTCTTTAACAGGAGTTTATAATTAGAATAGCGTCATAACTCTAAAATGTAAAAAATGTAACAGATTGATTTAAATGTTTTAAATAATAAAAAAAAGATTATTAAAAGATTCATTCAAAATTCATATCCAATCTTGTTTTAAAACTTTTTCAAGGTAGTCGTCATACCGTTTAAGTTCAGCGTTAGTTGTAGTGGCCTTAACCGCAAAATGTAAAAGGTTGTTTACTTAAAACAATATTGTTGAGTGGTTTTAATAGGACACCTTCTTATATGTTTTTATACTTTTTTTAAGACAAGTTTTTATATAAACACATATTTGGTGTGTATAGGATATTGTTTTGTATAAATGATTCATGTTTGTTATATAAGTTCGTTTAGCAAACTAAACGAAAAAAATTCATATTAAACGAAATAATTATATTATTACTAATTTATTAAAATATTATTAAGAGAAATTTGTAAATATTTTAACCTCGACGTAAAAAGACGTCTTTTGAACGTTTAAAAGACGTCTTTTTCAGATCGCGTGCTTTTTAAAGAATGACATAGACTTATATAACTATATTCCTTTCCTTTACATATTTGTTGGTTGTGTGTTGTGTGTGGCGTTAGAGTGACGTAGCCAAAGGTTTTTGATGTTTTAGACAAGTATTTAGTATATTCATGATATTTTATATAAGTATTAAGTATGTTCATGCTTATATAAAATGAGAACGCTTTGCAAAAAATTGTGGTAATTAGAGCATGGAAACAAAAATACCTCCAAAAGTTGGCTTCTCTAGCCCAAATGGGTAAAGAGTTTAAAGAACTTTGCAAATAAAAAAACAAAAATGGCAATAAGTTAAAATTTTTTTTTTTAATATTTAAAACTCATTTAATAATCTTTTAACGTTCAAAAGTTTTGACCATGTAAAGTTTTCAAATGAAAATGTTGCTGCAATTTTGAAATTTTTTTAGATTGTCATAGTGGTAAATTTCAAAAAGTCATAACTTTTAAAAACCAGAATATTATTAAAATGAAAACAAAAGAGAGTCTTTAAATTTCCGTGTGGACCCCCTAAAATTGCTGAAAATATATCTATATCTCTTATCTATCTATATGTATATATATATATATATCCGACATAACTAAAATTGTTTATATATATATATATATATATATATATATATATATATATATATATATATATATATATATATATATATATATATATATATATATATATATATATATATATATACAGGGCCGGCGCGAGTAGGTGTCACGTGGAGGGGGGGTGCCATTACAACTTTTGCCGACTAAAAAAAAAAAAGGTCCTCGTTTATCGAAAGGGTCGACATTTGCCGACTAACTAGCCTAAAGGGTCCAATTTGCCGACTAAGGGTCCAGTTTGCCGACTAAAAATCATTGATGGGGGGGGGGGGTGTCACACACCCCCACACACCCCTATCGCGCCGGCCTTGTATATATATATATATATATAAATATATATATATATATATATATATATATATATATATATATATATATATATATATATATATATATATATATATATATATATATATATATATATATATATATATATATATATATATATATATATATATATATATATATATATATATATATATATATATATATATATATATATATATATATATATTTAAACAATTTTAGTATGTATTCTAAAAAATAGAGTGCTCAATGTTCTTAAAACAACAGAGCAATTATAAAGTAGTAGAAAATCACTTGACAAAAAATTTTTTTTTTCATTTAACACTGTGTTTCATCAATAAAGACTCATCAGAAATCCTTTCTAATAAATAAGAGAACTCAACTAAATATTTAAATAAGAGAACTCAACAAAAGAGAATCATTTGTATCTATATCGAAGAAATATGGCAAACTTTGTCTAAATGGTCAAATGAAAAATACACAATATATCATAATATAATTTCGATAGACATAATATAATATTGATATGTCCAACATTTTCAAAAAGTCCAACAACGAGAGCTTTGTTTAGCTCGGACATTTGCTAAGTCGGATATATATATATATATATATATATATATATATATATATATATATATATATATATATATATATATATATATACATATATATATATATATATATATATATATATATATATATTCTTTCTGTTGAACCTACTGATGATGAAACAAATTATATGAATCATTTTGCTTTAAAATTGTTAAGCTTTAACAGAAATTGTACTTACATGTCTTTTAACAAATGATTTAAACTTATTCTGGTGGAGTATTTACAAAAAACAATTTTAGTATAATTTTTTAACAAATAAATTAAGTTCATTCAAATTTGCATCTCTTGAGAATTAATTATCTCCATGTCAAATTGATCTCTATTTATGATTTTGAAACGGAAAAGTCTCCGTTATATTAGTAATGTTCTAAATTATAGGTAATACACTATTTACTGATGGGAAAAATATGCTCTAATAAGCTAAAAATAAAATACTAAAATAAAATTACTAAATAAATTCCACAAAAACTTTTTTTTAATTTTCAAATAAGCACAAAATCTGCTCAACTTCAAAAGAATTATATTTTTGGCCGGACAAAAAAACGCAGCTTCAGCAACTTATATAAAATTGTATAAAATTGTATTCAAATTACACTATAATCATTATATAATACTTTATTTTTTTCAATTTTATTTATGATTTTCTTTGTCTTTCTAATAAAAAATTTGTTAAGCATGACAGTAAATTCTGTACTTAAACTTTATAGAAACGCTAGGTTTACAATTTTAGTCAAATCTAAAATACCTACTTTAAAAAAAATATTCCTTTTGATAAAAAATCATCACAGTTTTACAAATTGCTCTTTTTAAACCACAAAAATACTTCAAACATTTTTGTATTGAATCATATATAAACGTTTAAAAATTGTTGTTATTGAACAAAAATATTTATTTCATACAAGATATTCATTCATATAATGGTTTCAAACAAATTAATCTATTAAGCCTAATCTGAGAAAAAAAATAATAAGCCATTATTTGTTGAAATACCTTTGGGATGACAAAAATAAAAACTACTCCCTGCAGAGTATCAGTTTAAAATTAATCGGGTAACAGTATATTGAAGTTAAATAAAAGATGAGTACGATAAATATAACTAATAATTATATATATATATATATATATATATATATATATATATATATATATATATATATATATATATATATATATATATATATATATATATATATATATATATATATATATATATATATATATTTAAATAAATGTTCACATTACTTTTCTCAAATATTTTAATATAGTTGAATTGTCTCCGAACACGTCTTGCCAGACTTTATTCACGTTGCCTGTAATAACAAACTTATGATTTTTTCATTATTAATAACTGTTTTAATTTTAAGCGCTTCAATTTTTGATTTTATCTAGACAAAAAACATAAAGGCATTTGTTAATTTAAACACGATTGAGCCGTGGCACAACGGTTAGAGCGTCAAACACTTCATTGACTGATTAGACCACACATTTAAAATCGATAAAAAAAAAGCTGCTTAATTCTTCATAAAGCAACTATTTTATTTATGGTTACCTTTTTTATTTCAATTTTCTTTTTTCAGTACTCATTTTTAAATGATTTTTTAATTATATTTTTTATCCAAATTGTGTCTTTTTTATTAAACCGATAATTGTTTGATTCCAATAGACATTACGATATTATCAAAAAGTTGTACGAGAAATGCTATCATTAAGATTTGTTATTGCAAATGCAATTCCAATTTCAAGAGTGGTTTCAAAAACAGGAGTGTACTAAGGACATCTCTTCCAGAAAACTTGGTTCACAGTTCATTTGTTTTTTTTATTATCACATACAGGTTTTTTATTACATAAAGGTTTCTTTTTTTTATATAGGTCTTTTATTATATGTGCTTTATTATGTTCATGTTTTTTAAGAAAAATCTTTTAGTTACCTTTAAATTTGGTCTTAT